CTATTCTATAGAACATCTTTCTTAAAAGCATTGTGTTAACTTTTTTAACTTTATATGATCTATCTAACCCATATATATTGTATAACAAATCCGCTCTCGATGCCTATTTTCATGCTCATTTTTTTTTATTTGCTCAGTATTATTATTTGTTAATTTCTAAGATAATATACTGCTTCTAAGCGATTAATTTGAACTTAAGATGCTTTGCTTTTTCAAATTGTTGTGCATAATTCTGGACACCCTACAACAAATATAATCAGCACCTGAACAATTTTTCTATATATGGGGAATAGACTAGGAAAACCCCTATCGGGAAAGCAAGTGTCAGACGGTGATTTTCTTAGCTCATTCCCCATATAAGGTGGGGAACGGGCCGTCCCGCGGCCTAAACGGCCTTTTTTGGAAGTTAATTTGGGCCACACCTTAAAGTGTTGGTCACATGATAAATTATCATGTAACCAACAATTTGAAACGTGGCCCAAATTAATTTCCAAAAAAAGGCCGTTTAGGCCCGTTCCCCACCCTAGTCATATATCTTGAATTTTATCATACTAATAAAAGCATTCCTCACGAAACATTCCATCTAAAAGTAACTTTTTGCATGTATTTATTTCTACTAGACATATATCAATTAATTTAGATGATTGAGTATTACTCTATTTAATCTTAAATGTCAAAACCAGTGCGCATAAAAATGTTACTCTAAAATAAGTTATATTAATAGATGGCAGGGGATAATCAATTTTTACCCTGGTCACTATATCAAGATCGCAGGGCATAAATCAGGGCACTATGGGTACAGGCGGAAATTTCATTTCCGCTTATACCCAACTACCCAGGATATAACTATTACATATCCTGGGCAGTTGGGTATAATTATTACGTATAATAATTATCAGTCAAGACCCATTATAATTGCAAAAGTGTCATGCAAATCATTTACGTACGTACTGTACATACTTACGCACGCACGCACGTATGTATGCGTATGTAATAAAAATAACTGCATAACGATAAGGCGTCTTTACAAAGCGCATTTCCCCAAGTTTCAATTCTGACCAATCTTAAGGAAGATCAGATATAACATGAAAATTAAAAACAAAAAAAAAAAAATTTGAAAAATCAGTTAATCTCAAGATAAGAAACTAATTTCTGCGGGCTAATAAAAAAAAAAATTTTCCTAATGTCACTATTAAATCTGTCACAAACTAAAATATCACATTTTAAAAGGGTATGTCAGCGCGAATAATCCCAGCCAATAGAAACTTAAAAGCGAGCAAACTTATGCTAGTAAAAATTTTAACGATATATTTTTGCCTGTAATTTTCACCGTAAGTGTCTGCTTCTCTTTTTTACATGGTTATGATTCGTATTTCTTATAAAACGTTCACGAATTCACGATAAACAAAATAACTAAATAAAAGAAGACGGTCAAAAGGTCACTTTTAAACTCCGAAACTCCGAAAATTCAGAAACCTGGCAAAGGGGGACAGAATTGGAAGTAGTATGGAAAATTTTCTGTCATTATATATATATCATGCCTGCCAGATAAACTCAGTTATCTGGAATGATATGAATTCTACAGAATAATGGCAACGCACGTAGACTTTAGCCACGTGCATTTTCTATTATCCTGCTAACCATGTATCCGTCGCATAATGCTAAATAACAATTATATTATTACGATAAATCTATTTTTAGTAATAAAACTATACTGTTTTCGCTTAATCTCAATTTTATCATGTGATTAAGTGTATAAATAATCAATGTAGATAATGCAGAACCTATTGTTTGGAGTGCAATTTTTTGTTTATCGCTATGATTTAAAGTTATGATTTAAGGTTAGGATTTAAGGTTAAGATTTAAGTTTAGATTATTAACAAGAGTATAGGTAGATTTTGATAAGTTAAGCACCATACGATTTCAACATACGATTTTTTCAACATACAATTTCAAAATACGATTTCAATATACAATTTCAACATACGAAGCATCGTCCCTATAATAAACAAAAATTACTTAATACTGTGTCACTTAATATTAAGGATCAATAATGCTTATTTATGCATATCTAACAAAGTTTAAAGATATGTTGAATTAAATAGATATTATATAAAATAACATTTTTTGCAAATATTCAAAAAAAAAAAGTTAAAAGTTAATAGGGCTTCTGTAGAGATTTTATGATTCTCTAAAATTGAATTTATTAGGATAACGACTTAATCCAGTTATACTACTTGATCTACACTTTATATGAATACCCTAAGCTTACTAATAGCTTACTACTTCATGATCTCAAAACCTGAGGATTCTCCTTAAATATGTTCTAATGCTTCATTTGCGAAAAAAAAAAAGATTTTAGATTTGATGCAGAAATTTGAATCTTAATTGGATATTCTGAATTTTGGGATCAAATTTTTCCACATCCCTGAAATGCCCTGAAATGAGTGGCATCAAAAAAACATATCACATTTGAACATTCTTCGTTATTCTCCAAGCATTTCTCGCCATCTTTTTTTAGTTGGTCTATTGTAAGAGCTGTTTTCTATTATAATTTTTTTGTATTTTTTTCAGTATGCTGATTCGTGTTTTTAATTACGTACGTACGTACGCACTGTACGATCTTAATACGTAATATATATTGATACGTAGCATCTGACTATCCCTTAAAATTTTATTGGCTCATAATATTTAACTTATTAACCAATGCTATCCTAACGAAATAATATATTTAATGTCCCTGACATGTCTGTATGAGATTTCCTTTACACTTGTTGACTTAAAATGGCCATCTCTCCTCTTCAGGCTTACGTTATATTGAAATTTCACATGTACTGTATACGATTAAGTTTGTACACAATCATAATTTTAATTAAGTTTTATAGAAATTCCTTAAACGAAATGAAATATATCTGATATGGTGAATATTCGGGCAAATTGTAAAGTTTTGAAATAGTTTATATCTTAATAATGACATTTTGTCCGTGCGTTTTATCAAAAAGGCAGTGTAATGCAAACAAAAAGCGATTACTAAAAAATTGTCAAAATATTTGTATGAAGATCAATTAAACTTTTTAACTTTTGACTTTAAAACCAATCATTCATTTCTTCATTTACATTAATGCATGTGGATACCAGTAATTTGCATAGATGTGTGTAAACAAACTAATCGGTGTACAATTTTAATATATATGTATTTTTTTTTAATTGTTTTTTATGAACTCACTGTCGGTTCTGTCATTTTCTTCTATAAATAAAGTGCTTTGCGATTTTTTTGTCTGCCATCTGTTTTTATAATTTTCTTTTATTCAAAGCACAATATCCACGTGTCATTCATTCATTTTGGTGGATAATATGTTTTCGTCAAATAAACGAAAATCAATTTCATCTAAATCTGCTATAGCTCCTCAGGTGCGAAATAACAATCCTACCGCGAGAACAACCACTACCACTACTACTAAAGCTCCATCCTTAAATGCTTCTAAACAAGAGCCGATAGCAGATGATTTAAAACCATCAGGTGGAACGGTAACAAAAACGACCACCACAACTACAGTCACTACAGTTACAACTACCACTGTTTCTTCCAACAAAGATCTTGATAATGACAGTCCAAGTCCAGACCATAAGAATTTCGATCGTGATCTGCTTAAACCTCAAGATCATACCAAGGATTGTCCTAGTTCATCGACTTTAAAGTCTTCTAGGAACTCGTTGGATGAAAAGAACATTTTATCATTGAAATCAAAACCATCAACTATAAATAATAATTTCATTCCTCCCAAACCTCCCAAACCTACAAAACCCTCATCGTTACCAATAAAGATTAATCAATCAAATCACAACGAATCCTCTTTAAATTTAAAAAATGATCCAATAATTTCCTCTTCAACAAAACCACCCATATCCTCACATGCTGAGAGTAAATCTCGATTTAATAGAAGTTCTGCCATATATAGTTCTAAACTCACTTCAGAGCCTAAAAGCAGGGGTTCGATTATCGGAGAGAGTCCTACTAAAATATCTCAAAAGCATAAACGCACGGGATCTGCTCCTATTTTAAATACTCCATCTATGTCAATGATTAATAATTTAAATAAAATAATTTCATCAAAGTCAATGGTGAATTTAAATGATGAATTTGAAGCTAAAGTTGATAGGGAGACTCCGAAACAATATCTTGAAAGAATGATGTATAGTGTTTCAAGATCAAAGTTGGTCACTATATTAACACAAAAGTGAGTTTTTTGTTACTAGGTCACGCGGAAACAAGTACATTTAATTAATGAAATGCTATTTTTTTTCGTAATTTATAGAACTGATGCTTTTCATCAATCCGCACTCAAAGCTTACATGGAACTTTTTGAATTCGAAAAAGTTCCTATCGATCTTGCGTTGAGGTATATTTTTATGAATTCTAATAACACCAATATTTATATTTAAATCAATAACAATAAATTTAAATGACTAAATGTGCGCTTGAACTAATATTAGAAAACTCTTAATGGAATGTAATTTACCAAAAGAAACACAACAAATTGATCGAGTTATGGAGGCTTTTGCTAAAAGTTATCATGAATCAAATCCTGACTTATTTCCTTCTGCGGGTAAATTAATTTACTAATTACTACTACTAATTATTGCTAATTACTATTAATTACTATTAATTATTAAAATTATTAATACTTTTTATTTTATTTTATTTTTTTTTAATTAGATACCCCTTATATGCTTGCATTTTCTTTATTAATGCTTCACACAGATGTTTACAATAAAAGTGTAAAACAAAAGATGACAAAAGATGAATTTGTTAAGAACACTCGCATCGATGACGTTAATTCAGAAATATTAGAAGTAATTATCATCAATGTTGAATAACTATATTATTACTATTATTATTATTAATGACTTATATCAATATGATATTATCTTTATAGATTCTTTATGATAATATTACGTATACTCAATTTATATATGCTCAAGATGATACTGATGTTAATGGTCAAACAATGCTTGGATCCCCGACGCAGCATCGTCAAATGAGACTATTTTCTTCAAAGGAACGAAGAAAATCTACACGCTTTAAAAATGATCCTTACTGGGTTATACAAACTGTAAGTTCAAATTGATCAATTTAATAGTGTTTAGAATCTAATTGGTTTATACTCTGACATATATATATATATATATATATATATATATATTACACTAATATAAATAGAAATTACCTACGGAATTTAAACCTAAAATCAAAGATATTGTTCCTACGGAAAATCCGTATTCCTATATGGGAACCCTACCAGCTTTAGATATCACAGATCTTCATCGTGTATTTTCTACATCTAATACAATTCGAATTACCGGTGTTAAAAACAGACGTAAAAGTCATACATTTAAAGATACCTCTGGCCCTTTTCAATCAACTGATGATGATGGTACTTTCCTTCTAAATATAACCAAATGTGGTAAACTTGGAAGAAAGATTGATTTAATTGATGGTAAAAGGAAGAGTAGTTTTGTAAGGCATTGGAGAATATATGGTGTCATATTAAGTGGTAGTCAATTAATGTTTTTTAAAGATGAAGTAGGGTTCAATTTACAGATGAAAAAGTTGGACAATCCTGAGGTTTGTTTTTAATAAAGTTCCTAAAATTATGATCATTCATTTAACAGCATTAATTTAACGTTAATTTAATATTATTTTAACATTATTTTAACATTATTTTTAGAAATCAACGTTACCAATCTTAAAACCTGATGTAATACTCATGACAGCAGATTCGGTGGCTGTTTATGATAAAAATTATAAGAAACATAAAAATGTTTTTCGTTTAGTATGTCCAAAAGGACATCAATATTTATTTAAAGCTGAAAATGAAGATGAAATGAATGATTGGATATCAAAGATCAATTATGCTGCCACATTTAAAACTGCTGGATTAAAAATGAGAAATATTCGAAATCAGAATATTAGTCAACTAAGACGAAGTCTTGGAATGGGTTTGTTAGGGTACAGTCATGATGCTGCTGCAAAAGAAGCTCAAGGACGTACAAACTTGATTCGTGTATGTTCATTTTTTTTTTATTCGTATTTAATAATTTATTCAATTTAATTCATATTATTAATTTACTAATTCTATTTTTTATAATAGTCAAAAATTACTGAGCTCCGTGATAAAATTTCTACGTTAACATCTCAACTTCAAGCCGACATTCGATTTCGAAATAATCTATTTCTAATGATGCCATATAAATCATCAACAAGAGATCGTATATTAAAAGTTGCAACTTTAGTAGCATCTCGATTAAAACATACATGTTTGGAATTAAGTAAATTATTATGTTATCATGAAATTTTGGAAAAGGATTTATGTTCAACGGTAATGGAGGACAAAACTTATTGGCAAAATCGAAGAAGTTATTTTACACCTGGTGATAATGATATGGATGATAATATATCATCTACTGAAACAATAACAAATTTATCATCAAAACATAAAAGTCATGAAATGTTTGGAAAATTATTTATTAAAGAACCAATTAATAGTAATAATAAATTACTCGAACCATTTGAAAGAAATTCCGAAAATACAACAAGACCTGCTACTATGGGTTCTTTACTTCGTGCTTCCGCATCAACTTTGTCTTTAAATTCAAGTTCTGGTGAATCTAGTAGAACTTCTCTTTCAACTTATGGTGATAATGAAGAAGGTTTTGATTTTCATGGAAATGTTTCGGAATATGAACTTGATGAGCGTGATGATTGTAGTTTTAGAGATGATGCTAGTAGTATAATTGCTCTTGATGATGTAAAAGAACAATTATCATCGGTAAATGGAAGTGAAAATGATGATTATAATGCAAGTTTACTTGATGTTG